TACCTATGCTGTGTCGAGAGCATCAGGATGTTTTATTCAGCGTGACTTTCACCCAACGACACAATTCAATTGAGCTCGCTGTCCTCGAGCTATCAGACGCTAAAATAAAGCATCCTGATAGTGTGTGAGTGTTTTAATGTGCATCATAATCGAACGAATCAAGCGTTTTGTGAAAGGGGATATTACCTGCATATTACAACGCCGGATGCCTTCCGTTACTCCATTAGCATCTCGTGCAAACGTATGGTAATCTGAATAACTACAGCTAGATGTAATGCCATTTTTGGGCCATCGATCAACCAGAAGAACATATCATTCTGCCTGTGTGTAGCGTGAAAACTTCAAAGGCTCTGAACCTGAACGAGTGAAAGAATTACTGTTAAGTACTGTTGGAAACGCAATAAAACAATGCGATGCATAAACACATTAGACTTGGGTTGGGTTGATTCCTGGTCCCGGCGGCAGTAATATTGCCAGAGATACGCAGGTCGGCGACGTGTGAGAGTAATAATCATACCGTGAACTTGCCGTGACCAATAGAGATCTATAATTGAGTACGTATAATGAAATGTGTATATTGATAGTGTTAAGGTTAGGGTTAATAATTCATTCATGTGATTCATGTGTGATTCCCTTTTAGTCTTCGCCGTAGGCTTTGCACTCAATATTTTTTCTCAAAAATTTACAGGGAACATCTTGTTCATAGTCAGAGCTCGTATGTCTATAAAACAAAGCTTCAAGTTGCTGGTCCAGTGTCTTACGAATCAAATCCGCGATTTCGTGATTCATGATTTATCGGTTGATCGAGTACCATATCCGATTCTGTCTTTCTTGGCTCCTTAACAGAAAACCCATGTGCGCTGGCAGCAAACGGCATGTCATGATATCCCTATCGAACCGGTGTCGCTAGAAATACTTGGAAAGTCCCATTCTCTAGGTCCAGGGTCGGACTTGCGCCCAACGATCGTCAACTACTAGTGACGGGTTTTCAATTTTTCCATACCAAATTGCTAACGGACCATCTGCTGGCATCGTAGATAGGCTCATACTAGTATCCATTCGAGGATAGAACCACACAAGAATAATTTCAGGAGACCGTATGACCTCGGTCATTCACTTGACGCATCAAGGCTATCGAGGAGATTCCCGCAGATAGATTTTCACGTATCGCCATGAAGAACAATATCCAGCATATAAAAGCGAGCCGTCTTCCTACTCCCCTCTTCAGATTTATCTGCCCCATCACAAACAATGCGTTTCTCCTCTGCGTTTCTCCTTGTCGTCGTTGCTACTTTGACATCTGCCATGCCCACTGACGATGGCAGTCTTCTCGCTCGGAACGCTCAATGTTCTACATTTTGCGTGAGGGATTCGCAGTGCCAGGGCTGCCCTAAGGGATATTGCGTGAGTATCAGTAGTTTATGTCCTGGATTTAACCACATGACTGACTGGCATGGCAGACCCCCCTTTTTTGCCAAGTGAGTCCCGTTTCTGTTTTGACATCGGCCCAGCATGGTTTTTGGCACTGACGCGCGAGTTACTAGTAATTTGCAGAGTTTTGCGGCGTATTGGCTTCTGAACAAATTTTCTTGCCGCTCGAGTCGAGCAATAGAAATCTTAGCATAATATAGGGGGATTTTTTGTATATGCTGTTTGTAACATGATAGCGTCCGGATGGCCCGAAAGCTTTGACTGAAAGTTTTGACAGTAGAAGTAACTTCCACGCACAGTTCTGAGTCTGCTGCGCGGGATATTTGAGAAGAGCTCAGTAACAGTATGCAATGCAATTGTGTTAGCGCATGATGTGTGATTGCAACAAATTTTGTACACGGACATGATATAAGTTAACACGCAAGAGTAGCCACGAAAGCTACTGCTGAAAAGTGAGCTTGGGTACAATATACATCTTTGTCAAGAGTTCTTCCTTGGTTCTCGTCAGCGTCGCTCCATCAGCACCTGGCTTCAATACATCGAACAATATAATTATCGCTTTCCTCCTCTCCAGGCAGATGTGCCCCCGATAGGCATACCGAAGCTCCCAAAAGCAGCAGCAGCGCTCGGCGGAGTCCCAACATCGCTGGTTGGACTAGTGATGCCTCCCGTCGATCCTTTATGTCCATGAGCTGCAACGCCGAACGAGGAGCGGAAGGAAGACGCCGGAGCGGACTGTATGGAGATGAATTTATTAGGTAGTGGTCGGTCATCTGTGTTGTACTGATAAGGAACCGTTATCAGTTGTGTTCCTATAAGGTGGCTAGGAACTAACTTGGAACTCGAGACCAATATTATCCGCTTCGGAGACGTCCAGAAGCTTTATCAACTTTCTTCCTATCCCGTTCAGCCTCTCGACGTCATCTTTGCTCCTCGTCCATACTTGAATTCTGTCGACCTTGCTCCGAAGACTAACCACCGCACCGCAAATCTCATCCCCTTCCTCGAGCTCTTCACCAACCAGCGCCATCGCAAGCCATTGCCAGCAGCGGTCTAGAAGTGCAGGATTATTCTTCATTGTCAGAACCCACTTGCCACCGTTGGAGTTTGCTGGATCCTCCCACATCGGCTTGATTCCCGATTTAAAAATGTGGTAGTTGGAATTACGGTCCAGTTTGGAGGGTGGTTTCAGCCAATTGAAGTACCGGCAGAAGCACTCCACCGTATTGAATTCTCCGATGACAGTCAGACCAGCTTCATAGTCTTCTGTCTCAGGTGGAGCAGAAAGGAAGGGTGTTGCACCCTCTTCAGTAGGTGCCTTTTGATGAGCGAAGGGTGCTTTGGATTTCGTGTCATGGTAGATAGTCCTGCACATGTAATTAGACGATAGCGCGGTAGACAAATAATAAAGATATATACCAAGGAAACTGTAACGGATGCTCTGGTGCTTTCATGGTAGCTCCTGGTGTCTTTGGATCCTCCACCAGCTCAGCTTCTGGTGGACGCGCAGACCCGTCGACGCTGAGCGATCTCGCTTTAGCCAAGTGCGCTGTTATCGCGTCAAGAGATGGAATATTCTTATACCCCTTCACCTTCTTCTCTTTCAACTCCTGATTAAGCTCTTTAAGGTTCTCCTGTGTCAAAGGTTCTGAAGAGGCTAGTGGCGCATCCTCTGGTATCGATGGAGTTGTGGATTTCGGTGGTGTGGCGGCAGTTGTAGCAGTGAGCGCCGGAGACACCGAGCGAGTGGAAGGGGCATTAACGGCTATCGAGTCGTTTGTGGACGTCGTAGACAGTGATGTTTGCGATCCCGTGCGCAGGAGTGAAGCAGCGAGACGTGGGCGAGCTGGGGATGACGACGGCGTGTTTGGACCGCTGCCAAGATTGATACGAGCAGCGAGCTGGTTCAAAGATGGTGGGCGAACGGATGATCGCTCGGGCTTTGGAGCGTGCATGGACGCTTGCAACGAGTTTGGTGGACTGGACATGGTGGTTAGACGCAAGTCAGCGATAACTCCAGATCAATCAACCGACAACAATACATCAACACCGCATTCAAGCTTTGACATCGTTTCAGGGACTCGCTGTCTATCAAATTTTTCAACGTTCCCTTCGATTGTTCCACCGATTTGCGATCTTTCGGCGTCGTCAGAAAATAGGAATGTGATGGTGTAGGGATAGGTTTAAATTTCCTGACGAGTTTGATGTCGTAAACGCCTCATTTACTTGGAAACCAAGTTACCGCTCAGCTATCAAGTTCTTTCAAAGTGCGCTTGGCTGGAGGAATACGCAAGCTCTAGAGCGAGTCCTCACCGTGACTAGTTTGAAAATCTTCAGATGGAGTCCCTCAATTCAGAATTTCAGGTGTCGTTGCGGTCCACTACACGCAAATGCTAAATCCTACTGCCAAATTCAAAGCCAACGATTCCAGTACGGAACCCTCGGCATCAGAGAACCTGTGAGAAGAAGATATCGTCATATATCGTTATATATCGTAATATATAGGAAAGGTTTTCGTCACATTGGAATATAAAGTGATATAAAGCAATATATGACTATGTAAAAGCACCATAATCAGCATAATCCCCAGCAAGAACTCACCGGTTTACTGATGTCAGTGCCCTGATAACTCATTGCTCTGTCTGGTAATCTGAAGGTGGGTATCTCAGTGTCGCTGGGTCCTGATAATGAGACATGTTTACTATACTCGGTCACGTGGTACGTAATGCTTGACGCAGCACACATGGAAGCTCAAGCGCTCAAGAACGTAACTCTTCGCTACTCAAGTACTCACGCTCAATATACACTAGCTATCAACTAGCTAATTATAAGTAGGTTGCACCGCGACAGCGTAGGATTGGAAGTATTCAGTGTGCATAATAAAAATAGAAAGCGCATGTCCCGATGGGGAAATTTGAAAAAGCCTCCTTTTCACCAACTAATGAGCGCACACGGGCAGCGTGACGCAAAGATTGACAGGCCTGATAAAGAGGACCATACACTGCATGAAACTACAGATTAATCGTTGTGGCAGGGAATGAGGTGGGAATCAGCAGATTCCCATCGTACCACGGATACTTGAGAAGCACATCAAGTGCAGTTGGTCCTCGCCACTGTCTCGACTGAGGGTAACTGACAATGTCTAGATATGTATATGCCATACCACACAAAGCGCCATGTTGCATAATCATACAACCATTTCATACAGTTCCATATCGTGAATCTACCTCGACAAACATTTCAAGCAACCTTCACAGCCCAGACACCTCCGCTCCTCTCCGAATCGGACCATCATTGATCATGATGGTGTGTGTTGCATTTTCCAACATCAAGGTTTAGCTGAAAACAAGCGAATCAGCGGGAGTCCTGCCACAACGTGGCAGTGAAACGTACGCAAGCGATGATCTAGAACGATTTCAAGAACGGCCTTGATTAACTCTGCCTCCGCCTGAGAGCATGAAGATTCTTTCTCCTTTGCCTGAGAGCGTTCGAAAGCTTCTTTTTCCCTCCTCTTGAAGGGTTCAAACGGCAACTTTGCCATCCAAGCAGGCAGATTTCCTTGATATGGATAGACAGCAGTCCTCACAGCTTCTTCATATGCGTGGGCGGCAGTAGCCACAGCTTCTTCATATGCCTGGACGGCAGGACTCACAGCTTTCCTGACAGCAGCTGCATACGGAGATGCCATGTACTGCTCGAGAGCGACATGAAATATGGGATCAGACTCCTTGTCCTGAAGATAGCGCCGCTTGTCGTAAATGTAGAAAGAGTGTTCGAAGATAATGACAACAGCTAAATGGTCAATGATAAGCAGGTTCATCGCAACGTAGCCTCAACATTCACCAGAAGTGAGCTGAACAATATTCTCCAAGGGTGATGTGTCGAAGGCCTAACAGATTAGCAACATGAGAAATGTATTTACAATCTGTAACCAATTAAACATACCGCAGAGAGTAACCTAGAACATATCTCTACACGGTGATCTTCGCCAAGCTGCTCCTATTGATGGATCAGCAATGTCGTTCGCTAGCAAGGCTTTAAACTCACTGTCTATTGAAGGATGCATGATTTCAATTGTAAGCAAATCTCGAACTCGATGGAGGATCAGCACACTGACTTTCTGGCAATGGATGAGTAATGCCATTGGTGAACAGAGCTAGAGCTCGAATGAGGATGAGGATCGAGAGACTTACCCACTGTCAACGGATCAGTGATGTCGTTGGCAAGTAACGCTCGAGTTCAATGGCAGATGAACACACTCACCGACTGTCAACAGGGATCGGCGATTTCATTGGTCAGTGGTGCTCCAATTCGACTGCGGATGGATGCGCTTACATCCTGTGAATGGATGGTTGATGTCTTGAGTCAGTATGGCACGTGTTCGATAGTGGATCGAGAAACTCACAATCTGTCAATGGAGCGGTGTTGTGTTCGGTCAGTGAGGGCGACGTAGAATCAATACACCCACATCCTAACAATAAATCAGCGATTGCATCGGTAAGGGAGGCAGGAGATCGACAAAGGATGATCACACTCACAAGCTGTCAACGAATAGACGATATCTTCTGTTAGTAGCTGAAAGTCGGTGGAAGATCGATGTACTGACCTCCTGGCGATAGATGATCAATTGTGCTGGTCAGGAATGCTCGAACTCGACAAAGAATCAATGGACTGACTTGCTATCAACATATCAGCGGACGATGGCTTGATTCAGGAAGGCTACACTTGATGGAGGATCAAACACTCACACGCTTTGAGCAGTGAGCAAAGACTTCAATCAGCATGGCTCGAGCTCCTTGAAGGAGGATCAAAAACTCACACGCTTCGGGTAGTGGGCAACGACCTGGATCAGCATAGCTCTTGCTCGAACGAGGATCGACACACTCACTCTCTGCGAACGGTGGGCGACGACTTGGATCAGCATGGGTCTTGGTCGAACGAGGATCGACACACTCACCAACTGCGAACGGTGGGCGACGACTTGGATCAGCATGGGTCTTGGTCGAACGAGGATCGACACACTCACGCTCTGCGAACGGTAAGTAAACGCCCAACGTAAATGAGAGCAACGTTCAAAATTTAAGATAATCCTACATCAATGTGCGGAAACCAGGCGCTCAATATCCTGATTATCCCATCGTAACCCGCAGATGTTGTCTCTGCAGAGTCCAAACGTCTTGGGAGTGTTCTGTGCAATATCAGTCGCTAACGTTTGCGGCAGGTGAATGAGTCCATGGGTAGTCACCTCTCAACTGCATATTTCATGCAGATCTCCAGGTTGGTCTGCTGGGTCGAGACGAATATTTGCTGAAGCACTTCATTATCCAGAGTCCCAGCCGTACGTTCGATAAGTGCCCTGCAATCTGCATCATCCTTCTCCATGTCTAATAGATCAAAGGTCATCGTGTATCGCGACTCGACGACGAACCGGCTTACTAGAAAGGCATACATGGCATTTTGGAGGCCATCGCACTTCCTTGAGAAACTTCAATTGTGGCCCGTTAGGGAATGACTCTTCGGCTTGTTTCGGGGCCAGTTCCTTAGCGTCTTTCCGAGATTTTCCTTCCGCCCTTAGCTTGCTGAATTCGACGTCGTATAGGGCGTCAAACTTTGTGAATAAAACTATCACCGGTACTGAGGATTGTGATTCTGCGCATCAGTCGAATGTCAACGAGGATGCGATGCGAAAACATACTGCTTCCTGTGTCGCACTCAGAGAAAAATTTCTTTTCAGCTGCAGTGAACGACCTGCATGCTTCGTCCATGGGAATGCAGTACCTATGTCGAATCTGTGAGATGTCACATTGTCGCGATTGATCGGTTGCAATTACCAGATAGCATGCAGTTGATCCGTAATTTTCGTTTCCTTAGAACGGCGCGAGATGAATGCCTTGACCTGTTCGAATTCTGATGTGCCGCCTGCCTCAAAACCCCGTGAATTGTGGAAAATGAATCCCCGGTTACTTTCGAACACCATTTCATTCTCGATGTCGTGTAGTCCGCACTGAGAGCACGTCAGCTCATGGCATCGACTAAGAGCACACCTTACCCCTCTGGACGCCGTTAAAACTGCAACATCGATCTGATGTTGACGAGTCAGTACCATACTCCTACTAGCAATGTGATGCCTACCTGTTTCCCGGCGTTGTTGTATATTTTTGGACTATCCCGTGTATTGCAAACTCGCTGGAGGATGGTCGTTTTCCCTGCATTCGCTCTTCCTATAACGAGGATTCGAAAGCGACCGATTTTCTCTCTTATCCTTGAGGGATCCATGGGGGAAGTGGTAGTAAATGTGAGTCACGGAGAAGCGTTGGTGCAGCCTTATAATCATTGCACGGTATGAACCCGGCAAATACCCAACCCTAAGCCGGCATCTAGATTCAGCACTTGGGCAATGGGCATAATATGGGAGAGCTGTGTACCATGAGGCGCGCGAAGTGTGTTGGCACTTTAGGGTTTCGATTCATTAGTTAACTGTCGCAAGCGTGGCAGCCTGTAGTACTTGCCCAGGCCTATGATAACCCGGCCACGCTCGACACGCTAGATGAACTTTTCCCCAAAGATGTTGCGTCTATCATTGGACCAGTTTGTTTGTGAGCTTTTGCGCCGAGTCCATGTCTTTTTTGCGCCATCTGTTTGCGCAAGTTTCCAGTCAGCTAAAAGACAGACAGTTCCTTCATTTACCCTTGAACTTGAAGGACCTTCATGCCAAGTCCGACTCAACAGCTATATCACATACCATGTTTTCTATGAGTCCGAGTGCACGTTTTTGGCCAGAAGCCCGATGGGCGATATTAATATTGATACGGCTGTATACCATGAGGCAACCCTGTGCAATGCTGAGGTGTACACGAAGTCCTTGCAAGGCCAACGACTCGGATATTTGAAATTAGTTCACAAGCGGAGTGTGGACTTGGTTGTTTTAGATTTAATTTTATGTAACAGAGAACTTCGTGCAGCGGCTGTGCAGCATGTGGGTTCTCTTCTCTGCCTACTCCACAGCGCCCATTGGCAGGTTAATTCTAGCAAGCTCCGGTGCCCTGTCTGCAGCCTGCTTTCTTTCAGATTTTCTTTTCTGCTACGAATTCCGGTAAGCTCCAACGGCCCAGATCGTTGCGTGCACCGAAGCCATTGAAGTCTAGTGTGGAAGCGGGCTACAAGTAGAGAGCACTGGCACACTGATCTCTCAAGCTCACTCGTGTAGGTCACCGTTATGAACTCTCGTCAGGTTCCTCACCCCAAACCCTGATAAGGGGAGGAACCATCCACCCAGTCACCATGACACCTACTACCAGTGGCGAGCGTGAGCACCGTCCTTGCCAACACCTGCTGCCGTGCGCATGTAGATTCCTGCACTTTCATGGATGTGGATACTTGCATTGACGCAGGCGCTTGCACCAACGCGAACTCCTGCATTGACGCGGATGCCTGTATTGACGCATATGCCCGCACTTATGCTCACAGGAACGCCTTACTACTTTTGCTACCAACTGTCTCGTGTACCCTCACCTCCATGCGTCCCCTTGCGGGCTCCTACAATTCAGGGATTCAAGGTTCATTTTAGTACGTCGCATTCACTCCTACTAGTGTGGGAATAGCCGCTCACTCCTGCACAGGTCGGGATCACTATCAGGGCCCTCCTTGCAACCAAGCAGACATTTTTCTCGTTCTCAGTAACACAACCGTATAAGAGCACCCACACAGTTTGTATGTACTAGTAAGCATTCCATTCATAAATCACGCGCACGGTTCGATGAAATAACAAGTCACCATGTCCAACGAAGATGAAGCAGACAAGTTTAGGCAATTCTCTCCTTCCATCCTCTCCAGTCTCACCGCCAACATCTGTGAAGAAGAGACAAGAAAGTAGAAGCACAAGTTTTCAGGCTCGTGAAAGGTCCCGCATGTCGTTGCAGGTGTTGCAATGTCTAGCTAGCAGTTGACACAACGTTTGGATGGTGTGCGGTATATCCTCTCATCAATTATATTATCCAATGGCGTGCATGCAAGTGACATTGGAAGGCACGAGACAGATATAAGTAGAACATGGGTTTCCGAGTGGTGTTATTGGGTAGCGTAAGAAAGAAAAAGAGAAGTGCAATGATGAAAACGGTATGTTGCCAAGTCAGATTGCATGCAAAAAATGTACTCAGTCCGTCTCCTCAGACTCGGGGCTTCCATTCAAAAGATCGAGATATCTTGACCTCGTCCCACGTGACTCGGTTAATGTGAGGGAGCATGGGGAAGTCCGAAGAGGATACGGGCAACAGCTTCAGCATCTGCTAGACGAGACCGGATCAAGTTCGATGATTCCGGGGTGGTTTGTTGGAATGAGTCGACTGTAAATCGATATCAATTCTCACGGCGTCCATTGCTACGTCCAATCTAAGCAAGCAGGAACCATCGAGAAAGTACGGAAGACGGCGGATACCGTTTCTCCAGTGAGCAGACGTGTAGCCAACTTGCCATGGCTTCCAAAGGACAGTTTGTTATCAAGGTTGAAGTGGCAGTGAGGAAAGTCGAGCTGCAGGGTCCGGAGCTGAGTAAAATGTGATCACTGTCAAAAACCTGCTCGAGGGCTTCCTGACTGTTGGACCAGGGGAGGTGTTGATGATTTACCTTGCACGCGCGACAGAGTTGCTCGACCTCTGTCCAAGACAAAACACTGACTTCCATCACAAACTCTTCCAGCGAGGGGAATTCTGAGTGGTGATAGTGGATGCAGCCATTTTTACATAGAAAAAAGACCTGTGAGGTTAAAGTTGGCGATGTCCCAGCCAAAATTAAAGGCCGATGAGGAGGAAAACAGCAAAACGGGTCGTGAAATCCCATCACAACATTATAGATGCAGCTAAAAATAGCTATAGCCGAGTTCGGTCAAAATATTGGCGAACAGACAAACCAACGAGCATTAAGCTTGTTGATTGAACCGGCGGCCAGTGACCTCGAGCTGTGCTAACCTTGTATAACGTGTTGATTGCCTACCGAGTCAATTACCGCTCACATGTCGCTAGCTGTCCCCAATCACAGCGATTCAAAAAACGACAAAGTACTAAGCGATGCGTTAGGAGAAGGTGTCAAGATTGGTGACGATCGCAGAATGAAGCACACCGATAATGAAGATGCGTAGGAATACACGGTGGGCACTTTGTTCGTTATCAAAAGACTGATGACGATCGCGGAATGAATTACACAGATAAGGAAGATGCGTAAGAATACACGGTGGGCACAAACTGATAGATGACAGCAATTCTCTCGCACACATGAACATGATGGGAACCTGCCTCTGTACAGTCTCAAAGGCGCTGAAGCACGAGAGAAAGCCGATTCGGAAGGTGTATTCCTTACGGACAGCTTTCTAATACGCGCTGTTTCTTCGATCTGCCTTTCACTAACACTAAGCGCATGACAATATACACCATGCTACCAGCCAGCGCAATAACCTGTGATCCAGTTAATCAGAGACTTTGATGGAGAAACAGTACATAGACTCACCCCGGAGAACAGCGCGGGTATCCACCAGATATAGTTTGATGTCAGCAGAGCGCCGGCTATAGGTGTTCCTAGAATACAACTTAGACTTTGAAGCAAGCGATGTCAGAAGTGCACTTGCCGATCAAAATCCCGAATCCTGTAGTGACCGCGTGCAAGTTCGAAACAGCTCGGGAGTGATTATAATCTGACAAGACTCACCGCTCACGAAAAAGGAGATGCCCATCCGTGCACTGTGACCCAGTTTAGATGATTTGGTCGTCCAAATTTAAACTATTACTTACCCAAGCTCAGATGGGTCAGATGTTAAATCAGCTATAAGTGGGGTCCATACCCCGATGTCTGCACCATCCATCAACCCGTCAATACAACGAGTAGAAACAAGATTACTTACATAGCCCTGCAAAATATCCATAAATCACACCAAGCACTATGGCGCTGGGCAGATTACTCAATCCAATAAAGCCCAAGTTGAGTACACCGCACGCAATCGTCGCAACTATGGTTAAATTCGGGACTCCTGTGAAGGCTGCGATGAAGCCCGACGTGACTCGTCCCACAGAATTGGAAGCGTTTAAAATAACTAGCTAGCGGCACAGTCAGTAGACGAATCACATGCATAACGCTGGATCCTACAGAGTAAAACGAGAACGTGGTGCTGATGCCGTGCTGAATACAGTCGAGTTGAAAGAAGAACATCGGATAGTAGAGGCCAATCTGGAAAAGAAAACCCCTACAAGATAGTCATTTAGAGGAATTCGAGAAAAGGTGCGTGGAAGGTCTCACGCTGCGGTCATTAAAATAAACGGTACATCGCGAATACACTTTCTAGCTGCCGCAACGTAGTTTACCGGTGTCGTCGGCGAATCAAGGCGAGTTCGCATGCATAGACATGCGATTAGAAGGAGCACGGTGATCAACCCTGCACTTGCACGGACACCATTGGAAAAGCCGAGAGGACCGTTCAAAAGGTGATTAAGCATGATCGGATGGATGGTAGCGCCCAATGAAGATCCCGTAGCGACGAATGTGAGAACCAGCGTGCGTTTGCGTCGGAAATAATGCGCAGTGACAGCCGTGCTCGGGACAAACAAGAGCCCGGCTGCAATACCTGAACCTACTCCTTGAGCAAGGAATATCTAAACAAAGTCAGAAGATAAGACGTGAGAGCTAGGGAAATTTACCTGGTAGTACTGATCAGGTTTTGACAAAGATAACATGAAGAGAGAGAAACTCTGCAGAAGTGATCCGACAATCATAAGATGATAGCTATTCAAGAGTGGTGAGCATCATCGAGCACGTCCAACAATATGACACTCACAAATATCCTCGGTCATACAGTGAGCCTGATATGAGGCCTACAGAGGTGAGTAAAAACATGTTGACGCTCCCTATCCATCTACAAGAGACCTTGAGGATGCGCGCCGTGGAGACCGACGTAGAAGCTCACGATATAGCCGATGAAGTTTCTTTTGTGAGGTAGTGTTGGGTATAAAAATCTGGAGTGTAAGAGTTAAGCATCCATCCGTGCTATCATGTAAAGTCACGGTACCTTGATATACACCAAATGAAGTGGCATAACTTTTAACTCGCAGTCATACACCGTTCTTGACTAGCACCAGTAATAGACTCACCCGAAGCCGCTGAACTGCACAAGGAATCTAGAAAAATCAATCAAGACTCGAGTTTATTGTCCAAATAACAATTATTACGATCCAAGGACGGTTATCCAAGCTGCCAGACCACCTTCAGGAAACTCGTCCGAGAGTGAGGGAGGGTCGGACCCCTTGGTGGCCGGATATGCTTCCACTAGTGTCTCCGGGCCCTGTTTATCGTCATGGCAAGGGGCTCCTGTATGCAGGGTTTGAGGCTCGGATTCAGACGGCATCGAGAACTGGGACAAACGACAGTGGCGACTGTATATATAGTACATGGACCCTCACCTGCATCGAGTCACGAGTTGTGAACCCTGCCTCGGCTTCACGGAGGAAAGTGAGAGCGTGTGGGAAACGTAAGGTCGATGTATTGACTCTGAGCCTTTTGCAACTGACACTTGCATTGGTCACAGCCTCATGATAAGGTCAAGGGACTCGAGATGAGCCCCCTACATTACCTTATATGTTCGACATTGTCAGCAAGATTTGACAATTTGTGCAAACGGAGGTAATTTTGTTCCCACTATGCTTGGCCACCACAGGAACAATATATCAAACCACGGAGGCCAGGAATATCGTACGTGAGGCGTTGAGTCCGAGTCGTACCCAGGTGTGCTTCCCCCGGTTTCTCAAACAACGGCACAGTTTATGGAAGCCCGGACACTCGCGTTCCTAAAATTAGAGGGCCTTGTTGACGGTTATTGACAATATCATACTATGGATTAGCCTCTGGAGCTTCTTTACCTTATCGTATCTTGGTACATATGTCGTTCTGTCGTTCTCACCGGTAGCTTCCTACGTCTCGGATTTCCTACTTGTATGTTTTCCTCCACGTAGTTTCACCTCAGATCGCGTCTCACTGAGGTATGCCTTTTCTTGATCGCTAGTACTTAATCAGGCTGACGTGTATCCTTCCATACACAATCGGGCCGATGATGCTGTAGCACAGGAGACCAAAGTATGCTTATAGTATCCCCTGAACCCCCTAGTGGCGCACAGGGCACTGATCCCACTCTATAATGCATGGTTACGCCACATATCCCCTCGGGGCATTGTGCCACATACGTCATGCGTCCGAATGTACGGGACTTATCAACGCTCGCACTCGGCTCTGGCCGAGTCTCAGCTCTGCGCACATACCTGTCACTGATTGTGACATATGGTTGTGACTGAGTCTCCTAAACGCTGGTGACGCAGACTTCGGACTTCAGTCCTTTTGTCTCAACCGTCATCAGCGTTGAGCACGTTCTGCTTGCGCACGTTCTGCGCCACAATTTTAAGCTATTTACTTGAATTCTTGTTCTAAACTTCGAATTCGGTCGTACCTCCATGTCTAACACTCAAAATGTTTCATCCAACACCCAAGCATCACTTACAGGACCCGGACAAGCGGGGACTTCGTCTCAAACCAACTCTGGAAGGGCGACTGTTCCGCAACAAGACTTGGTTGAGAAGTGCCTCAACATCGTTGAAGACTTCAAACAATCACTTATTTCAAAGCAAGAAGCGTTTATCACTATTTCAAAGGTTGTTGCAGCCACCTCTAACGAAGTTACGGACCAAGCCGAATCTTTTATCGCGGGTCCGTACTTCGACATGCTTGAACAATGGTCCAATGACCTTGAAAGGACCAGAGCGTTTCGGGAACATGACCCTGCACGACAATCCGAAGAAAGGGACTTTGTCCCTCCTAGAGAGGATGGGTATGAGAGAGAGTCCAGTGCTGACGAAGGTGAACCCATTAAAAAACTGGTCCAAACTTGACCTCTCTTGTCTCGGACGAGCCGAGCAATCATTCAAAGGAGGGCAGCTTTCAGCCAATCTCACACGCACCAACGAAATCCTACTCAACTGGTCGCAAGACCCTAAAGAGGTTCGGCGAAGACTCATGTACCATCGCTGCTGCCCGGAATTCCATGAAGCTGGATGGGCAGAAATTGTCGCAGGAAAATGCATTAATCTTGACGCCGTACACTCTATTATCTCCTCCTCGCGCACCATTGACAAATGTACCGAAACCATTGGGGACATTGAGATCAAGTTCGCCACCGCTACAGAGGCAGTTTTGAAGAAGATCACTACCTCTGCACAATGGTCCGCAGCGTGGAATAGAACCTCAAGGGCCATTAAGTTCGTGTTCCCTCATTCGAGAGGATGAGCTTGCCGCCTATGGAGAATACATTAACGACAAATTTGACCGCAGTGTCGAGCGAGCGCATGAGAGAATCATTAGATTCGATAAAGCCGTTAGGAACAGGGCCGCAAACTCTCGAAGAGTTGAACTCTCTGACTTCTCGGCCTTTGCAGACATATATGAGTCCCACTTCTTATCAGACGGCAGGCATCACGACGAGGACAAGCAGTCAAAACTCGGTGCTTCGGCACGAGACAAGACCTCCTTTAATCAGCGAGAGCCCTGTCGTAAATGGAACTCAGGAGAATGCTCTCGCAGCGCTCAAACCTGCCGTTACGCGCACGTCTGTTCACACGAGCAGGACGGGAGATTGTGTGCACAACGTCACACGGAAGCGAGACATTTCGAGGAGTCTAAGTCCAAACCTACCTGAACGTCCAATTAAGCGCCCGCGACATAGACGGGGCCTTATTTGGTCTCCAATGGATCTTTCGTTTAGTCCCACAGCGTGTTCTACTGAATATTCAGAACCTGTTCCAAAACCACCTTCACATGAACTCCAAAACAGTGATGCAGCTCAGACCATTGCTCGAAGGCCGGACCTGTTTCGCATCATCACGCCCATCAATGTTAACCGTTTCGAGGAACTCCTTACAGATCATCCGAATCAGCCTTTTGTTAAATCTGTCTGTTATGCATTGCACGAAGGCTTCTGGCCTTGGGCTGACACTTCTGATAATTCGTACCCCTCCATTAACGACAACTCTTCGCATACGTGTTCCAAAACCGACATACAACTTCAATTCATTGAGGACCAGATGCGGGAAGAAATCCGCTTGGGCCGGGTGTCTGAAAGTTTCGGAACAGAGCTTTATCCAGGGATGTATAGTGTCCCAATGCACACTGTTCCCAAACCCAATACCGACAAACTTCGGTTAGTTGTGGACCACACTGCGGGCGAGTACTCCTTGAACTCTATGATTGATCGAGACGCTATCAAGGGTACTAAGCTCGATGGTCTACATTCACTGGGGGCCTCATTGCTCCGATTTCGAGAGCTGCATCCAAACGTTGAGTTAATCATGTTCAAATCTGACGTTTCACAAGCCTTCCGTCAGTTACCAATGCACCCTCTATGGCAAGTCAAACAAATTTTGACTGTGCATGGTCAACGTCATGTTGACCGTAACAATAACTTCGGTGGTCGCGGTTCTCCTAAGATCTGGATATCCTTTATGTCACTTGTCGTGTGGATTGCTATTCACCGGGCTCTAATTGATGCTCTAAAGACCTACATGGACGACTCCTTCTCTTTCGAGGTCGCAGGACATGTTCTCTATTATCCCCCATATGACTGCTACTTTCCCGCGAAACAGACTCAGCTTTTACAACTCTGGGATGACCTTCAACTACCGCATGAACGACCCAAACAAGTATTTGGCACACCGTTGACAGTGATCGGATTTGAAGTCGACCCAAATGCTATGCAAGTTACTTTACCCGTTCATAAGAAGGCTGAGTTGGTTACAGAGCTACGTCGTTTCGCACGAAAGAATCACCGTTGGTCGCTTCGCGAATTCCAGCGTCTGGCTGGCTGGTGTGAATGGAGCTTCAATGTCTTCCCTTTATTGAAGCCCGGTTTGTCAGTGCTCTACGACAAAATTCGAGGAAAGACTAACGCCCTCGCTCAAATTCACGTCAACAATGCACTGCTACACGAGTTACATTGGCTCGCGGACCACGTTGAACGTTTGGATGGCCTACACCTATTCCGGTGTTTAGACTTCGACGCGTCAAGAGATGACGTTGTAGTTGTCTACACTGACGCGTCAGCCGCAGGATTAGGACTCTAGGTTTCCAGACGAAAACTTCGCATGCCAATCACCCTTACCTGGAGATGCTCCTCACGACACCATTTTCTTCTTCGAGGCTTTGGCCGTTTGTTCCGCTATTCACACGGTCACAAATATGGACGACACTCCCGCAAAATTACTCATTTACACTGACAACACCAACACTGTGTCAATGTTCGACTCACTTCGAGCAAGACCTATCTATAACTCACTGTTACTTTCGGCTGTGGATATCTTAATCACCTATAACGTTGACCTTCGAGTGGAACATATTCCGGGCCAACAGAACGTCATCGCTGACGCTGTAGGGATTCATTTCTGGTTGGGCTTGTAGAGACTGTTTTTACCTTACCTTATGTTGGCACTTTTGTAGCTTACATAATCAAGCAATCTTTTCACCAGTTACCAGTATGAGTCTGAGAGATCAGCAAGTTTTTATGGTATTTCCTCTCCTCTGAGCCTTGAGCCTGGTCCAGAAACCCTTTAGGGTCGAATAGCAGCTAGGTTCTGCAAGACCCAACACATTGTTCAGACTCACCATCTGAATTGTTGTACCTTCAACTGGAGCCCACCGCGAGGGTTTCTTGTGTTTCTAGGCTCTCCAAGCTCTCCAATCATCCCCCAAATTCGCCTATTATCCAACCACAGTCATTCCTTACCAGCTTCTCCCATAATCCCCAGTTTTCAGCATCTTGTCCTCCTCCCCAGCGCACTGATAGGTGTTTTTCCCACGCGTTTTTAAAGCGGATCTCTCGCAAACTTAGGGTCGTATTCCCCACGTCCGTACGATCATTTTGAGCCCTGGCTCATCGAAATTGGAGCAGTAGTTGTGGAGATATCGAGTTTTTGGTGTTTTTGAGAAGTTGAGGGGAGATAAGGGTTTTCTGGGTGCTCAAAGGCCTGTCTCATCTAGCTCTTTTGGCCATTTACCATCCCTCAGTGGCTCTGTCCATTGCCCCAATCCGCTTTTTGATAGGACCAGCCCTTGTTGCCCTGCACCATACCCCTTCCTCCTCCTCCCTCTTGCACCTCCGCACTTTTCGCACTTTCACCAGCCCATTTCGCATCGAAACCCCATTGACCCTATATCCGTTTTGAAGCCCTCGTTCATGGCTTTCATTCGCGCATATCCGCGCCTTCGCGCGCTCAGCCGTTCGCTCGCTATTCGCATTTGCGCGTTCCCCCCTATTTTTTCGCCCCATTTTTGCGCTTTCTTTATATCTCGTCGCCCCGTGAGCGCGCGCCCATCGCCTTAGGCGCGTTCTGACCGCGTTTTTCCGCGCTTTCCATCCATCCGATCAGATTTCCGATACGCCCGCCCGCGCCCTCGCTACTCGCTGTTTTCGCTATTTTCGCGCGTTTTCACCATTTCCTTCATATCTCCCTCAGTTCTCCACCAAACCTAGTCAACCCTATACTCATTTCGAAGCCCTCGTTCGCCTCTTTCTATCCGTCTACTCCCCATCGTCATCCATGCAACCATCATCGCGCATTTTTCACTTTAGCATCGCTGCTCCTCCAGTACTAAAAGCAAAGTCTGGGGATTATCGTTTTATTGCATTGCCTGACCCTCACTCACTGGCGCAGTTTACCTGGCATACGCGTCAAGGAAACAAAAGGTGTTTGAGGACCCCCAGGTTAGTTCTCTTAAGTTTAGCTTAGCTTTGGTTTGCATAGGTAGATGACTGGGGACAGTCATGATTTAAAGTTCCCATGACCGCCGTTGCAGATGAAGTATAGCAAGTTTCCGAGTTGCTTCATCAAGGTCAACACGATTGGCTACGTCTTCTAGCAGCTTCGTGGTTCGTATAATGCAGACGGTGAGGGAGGTACACGCTGCAGTTCTGGCGTCTTGTTCACCAAGGATTTCATCGATCGCTTGGGAGTACGCGGGGGTCAGGATAGCAGCTTCGTTGAACGCGCTATTTTCCGTCATTCTGAGGACTAATCCGTAGTCTGAGTCCTTCAGTGCCATCTTGATAGAGTCGTTGTCGATGGAGTTTGTCATGATGATGATGGAGGTTCGTTGGGAGAGATGTTCGAGGATCGAGAGGGTTTATAACCTTCTTCCAGATCAATCCAAGCTCCGTTTCAATCTAAACTTGTTATCGTTATCGTTATCTCTTATCGTCTTATCTAGCCATGAGGCTAACTCGTGTTCGAGATTCTTCTTCGCTATCAGAGGGAAAGTGCCGTGATAGGTACTATCATCCTTTATCTTTGTTTGAAAGATCAGGTCGTCATCAGAGGGTGGTTGTCATTGCCATGATGGGTTCTAGAGGGTTCCAAGGGCTTGCAGGAGTTTCCGTGGAGTTCGTCTCGTGATAGTTTAGCCTCGTTCCGGAGGTCTAGTCTTCTTATCTTTTATAGATCCATTTCTGGGTTCTTTATTTAGATGTCGAAGGTGGGGATCCGAGTGTGGGTGCCAAGGCTTTGTAAGAGTTTCTTGGGGTCGTCCAGCGGGGAGATTGTCTTCTATTACCCTTTGTTTATATATGGTCTACTCGGGTGGTCGAAGTGCAGTGATGAGAGGGGTCCCGAAGCTTGCAGGAGTTTTCCGGGGTTCGTCCTTGTTCATCGTCTAGTTTCAAGTCATTACGGACAATCGTAGTTTAGAGTCTTTCCGGACTATATCTAGTTTAGGGTCATTCCGGACCAACGTAGAAGTTGGTCGAGTTCGGGATTGGTGATCAGTGTTCGGGGTGGAGTAGGTGTGGAAATAAGTAAAAATGGAGGATTTCACCCCCTTACTAAGCCATTAGTCACCGACTAATCATATCCAATCAGAAGTCTAGGCCAGGGAGCGGGCCGTCGTCTTCAAAGTCGTTTCCTTCTAAATCTACCATACGCAGATCATGCGAAGAGGGTGCATCATCATCTTCATCCTCGTCATCCTCGGAGTTGTCCATGTCGATAAATCGGACAAAACTGGGCCCGGCATCTTGTGCTTCCTTTTCTATTTCATTTTGACGATATGCTTCATGGATCGAAGTGATTCGTTCTATGAAAATATCCTGGGCTTCTTGTAACACAGGAGGGAGTTCAGTGTCGGAAGATAGCGTCATTGCTTCTTCGGAATTATGCGCGGGTGTCATGGAGAGGTTGAGGGAATTCGGCGGTTCATCGGCGGTTAAATACGCCGGTTCGGGGTCTTCCTCCATTGCGGACTCAGGACTTTCATAGAATCTGAGTTTCTTGGCGGTAGGAGGTTCTTCGATTCGGACTGCTCGTCCTTTTCCGAGAACGGATATCGGTTCTCCAGAAAATTCGAATCTCTGAGTTTTCTCTGGTTCAGGGGCCAGTCTGGGCGCCTTGGATACAGGCGGTTCTTCGTTCATTATTGCACGTCCCTTCCCAAGGACTTGTGTGGGCTCTGCCGAGAATTCATATCGGGCAGGTGCGGGATCTTCTTCAATCTTCATCGGCTGAACAGCCGGTACAATTTTCTTCATTCGTGGCGGTTCGGGATAAATGTGGTCAGATATCAGCGCCGGTCTGGAAGTCTTCTTCTGAGTTGTCTCCGGGTCAGTGGCCGGTCTCTTCTGTTCATATCTTTTCGCTGCAAGGTCGATTCTTGGCAGCGAGTCTTTCTTCGTCACAGTTTTCGCGGGCTGTGGTGCGGTTTCTGAAGGTTCAACGGGGGTTCCGTTCTGCGGCTCTTCATGGGCCGGTGCAATTCGTGTCGTTCGGGCTAATGGTGCTGTGCCCGAAGAGAAGGTGCGGGGAGTAGTCGGGGATGCCGATCGTTTCCTCTTCAATGCTACCTTCTTTTCTTCTTTCAGGAAGAGGGGCGTTTTGCCGTTCTTCTTCCGATCAGAATCTATTTCTTTCTGCTTCTTTCGGGAATCTGCGGTACTCTTGAGGGTTACCGTGCCGGTTTTCCAATTGATTAAAGGGTTCTGGCTGGTAAGCCAAGGTCGTCCAAGCAGGAACTTGTCTTTCGGACCAAGTTCGGCTAGGTAAAACCTTTCGGAAATTACCCGTTCATCGATCTGGAAAGTAAGGTTGCAAAACCTTTCTATTGGCTTCTTTCCGAAGCAGGATCCGTCAGCGTTCGAGAGTGTCAGGGGGTTCTCTAGCTGGTGCGTCAAGATGTGGTGCTGCGTGATTATGTCCTGGTTGACGAAGGACTGACACGCCCCAGAATCTACGATCATAGATGTTGCGATGGGGTTACTTCTTGTTCTGGAAATCAGGGTGGCGTTCACCCGTAAATCATCCTTAGCCCCGGCCACTTTGATTGTGCGCAGGCGGGGTTCTTCTTCGATCATCTTTCTCCATGAGGTTCGGGTCCATTGAGGACAGCTCGCGGCTTTGTGTCCGATGACGTGGCACACAAAACATTTCTTCTCTCGCAAACAGAGGCGAGTCTCCTTCCCGGTGAGGTGTGCAGCGGCGAAGGTGTTTCTGGTAGTTGCCATATTGGAGATGGTTTCTACGATCTTTGTGGTATCCTTTTCTTGGAGCTTTCCACAGTGACGGCGGTTCTTATATTCTTGCGACTGGTCAGGCCGGTACGATCAGGGTTCTAAATCAGGGATATGAAAATCCTTTCGGGATCTAGGTTCGGGGTTCTACGAGTGTCGGTAACGTTGACAGCAAGTGCGATCAGTTATCTTGTAGCCTGTGATGGAGGTGTACGATAAGGAGACTTTAATCCTTTGTTACGACGTGTGTCGCGTGCGGACTGGGATGATCTAACAGCGACGATGTTAAGGTCGTACTCTCGTAAGATCGGATCCGAAGGACTTCGGCCTCAGCTCGTACGCTGTGCCCCTTTCCCAAGTACTGTCCCTTATTTCAAAGTACTAACGATAACGCGTCCGAAGGTCCGGACGGGTCTCGTAGTATATCCGGAAGTCTTCCGGATATCGGAAACGCGTATAAGGCTAATCCGGACGTATCCGAACTAGAAACTAACAGAGTAAAGACTACCCGAAGGTAGAGCCGAGGATATAGACTATCGGAATCTATCCGAAGTCTCGGAGAGTGACAAGAGTAAGGAGAACTCAAGTCCGGAGGACAGAAAGAGGACAAACTAAGATGATATTCGAACTGAGGTACTACAGGACATATACACGAGTTTATATACTATGAGGATAACGGAAGTATCAGTAAGCAAGGGTCCGAGGCTATGTACGAAGCATGTGCAAAGGTTATCAAACGCGAGTCGGAAATGAGACATAGGTTAACGGATCAGTAATCATACCGGTAATAAGCATAACCGAAACACCGGGAAGAGGAAATACCGAATAGGCTGTGTTTAACGTTATATGAAACAGGAAATGAATTAGAAAGCTTATCGTAAATCGGATCGGAAGCGGATCTATACATCGGACCGGACCGGATCTCAGGGTCCGAAGTCCGGAAGAGAAGCGTGAATATATGGGATATGACAGTATCCCCCCCTTAGGGCCGATCCCTAGAGGCACAAGAACCATCGGTCCGGACCGGACGAGATTATCGCGAGATGATGGAGAAGCGTCTGAGTTCGGAATCGGACAGGTATACTCAAGGGCGGACGTCCCAGGATGATTCTTCCTTTCCCACTTTTTACTCTCTATAACGCTCTATCGAAAATGTCTGGCAACACCTCCGGATCTCAGAAGACTGCTAAGCAGAAACTGCTGGAGCTTCAACAGCAACTAGCGGACGCTGAAGCTGCGGCTCGGAAGGAGGAGGAGGAGATTCGGAAGCGTCAGGAGGCGGAGCGGAAGCGTGAAGAGGAACGGAAGATTCAGGAGGATCTTAAGAGGATTCGAGAGTCCGAAATTCGGGTGGAGGCAGAAAACAAACGGCGCAGGGAGATAGTAGAGGAAATGGTGAGTTTCGGATGGTTATGATGGCTTTGCCTGACGGATGAAAAGTCTCGTGCCATTTCCGCTGACAAGGACGGATCCTGCAAGCGTTGCAGCGACAGAGGCCGGACTTGCCTTTGGACGGATGCGGAGAGCAATGCTCTGGTGAGTTAATCCGTGTTTTTTTTTTCGGATCCGAGTGTTTTGACGTCCGGATAGGTCAAGTCTTGCGATATCTGCCGGAAGGACAAGGCTACGTGCCCCGGACGACCCGGAACTGTCAAGGTGCCCAAGGGCAAGAAGAGGAAGCATGCTGCCGGATCTCCATCTCCGAAAGGTAAAGGTAAGAAACGTCAGAAGAGTCCGACTCCTGAAGATCCGGAGGAGATGGAGACGGAATACGATGATCAGGCTTGGGTGGCCGCAGCCAACAGTATAGTGGCGGAGCTGGCTAGGACTAACACCCTTTTGGAGAGAAGTATTCAGGCGGCGGAAGGCAGCAGGGCTGCAGCGGACCGGATGAGCTCCGGAATTGAGCTGTTCCTTCAGCAACAGAGGGAATTTCAAGCCATGTTGTTCGGACATATTCGGAAGGGATTTCGGACGTCTCCGGGTCCGGAGGAGGAAGATGAGGTGATGGAAAGGGCGTCCGGAAGTGATGCAGGCGGATCCGGAGAGGCGGATGGGTCTATGGAGATGTAGGAATTTCTGGTCCGTTTATGCTTCTTCTCTAAATGTACTTGTATTTCGTATGCACACTATGTACTTCAAAGTTGAATAGGACCGGGTTTGTTCGGATATGCAGCGTGGAAGTCCGAAACTAGTTCGGATGCGTTACCGAGCTCCGTAGCAAGTAACCATGAAGTCTCCTCGTCCGTTCCTTCATATCCGGACCATCGGACGAGGTATAGGAGTTGACATTGTCTTCTCCGACGGTCTAATTTTGAGTCCAAAACTTCGGATATCTCATATTCGGGTTCTCCGTCGACTTCGACCGGAGGCGGAGGCGATTGGATACGATTAGGAATGGTATTGAGTGTGGCTGGTTCTAATTGCGAGACATGGAAAACTGGGTGTACGGAGCGCATGGAATCCGGAAGTCGGATGGTGAAAGAATGCGTACCCGGACGAGCTATGATTTCGAACGGACCTAAGTTCTTTTCCGAGAGTTTCTTGGACGGACGGGTGGATCGGAAGTATTTTGCTTTGA